ATTTCCAGAAGCAAAAACGGGATTTTTCTCTTTTCTCTCAATCTCTAAAACGAATCTCTCTTGATTTTTCTCTCTTGTGTTTCTGAAAATAAGACCAAATAAGCCTTATATATGCCACATAATATTTGGGTTATGGGCTAAAGTGGGCTGGTCCTAATAAGACTTTTATTTATCCACATAGGAAGGGAAAGAAAAGATCCTAAAACTTGATGAAAATAAGATCCTTGTGATGCATGTGTTGCCGATCCTGATTACCTTAATATGCATCATCTAAATATGAACATCGAATGATGTCTATACATGAAACGTACGATATGTAATATAGTTAAATAAAATAACTGGGTAAAATTGAACATACCAACCTGAACGAAAAACTCTGAAGATAGATTGAATTAAAGCCAACTATTTAGTTAAAATAAGATTATTCTACTGAAAAGTTGGGGCATGTTCTAAGAGGCCGTTTGGATTGACTTATTACTTTTGGTATATAAGTCAAAATCCATAAGTTATTTTAACAAAAGTGTTTAAAATTCATTTTAGCTTAAAAGCACCTAAAATAAGTCAATTCAAACAGACTTTAAACAGACTCCAAAAGTGATTAACTGAAACAAGTTGAATATCTGAGATTGAGAAGAGAAAAATGTAAAATAGTATGCAAGTTACTTTAAAATACTTTCATCTTCTAATAATATAAAATTGTCCTACAATTTAAACTGAAAACATGTCTAACACTGTAAGTATGAAAAATCATCATATCTATAAATGCATAAGTAATTACATCAGTTCAAATTCTAAAAATATAGAGATATAATCTTTAAGTGGGAGTTTCTACATTTGACAACACCATGTGAGCTCATGATGTCCAACTTATAATAATCTCAATTAGGAGAGTTGTCCTATAACTTACCAGAATACATATATGTAGGTATGATATAGATACTATTAAGCCTTTTGGGCTTAAAAAAGCAACCGAATAGCGGTGTGCTCAAATTCCACGATGGCACATAGTTATGAGACTTATATTTTCTGAACTCACATCCTCTCGGTGCTAAATAATTATCCTCCCAAAATAATCTGTATATACTAATATACTCTTAATTGTTTAAATTATTTCTCTGAATCAAGTATCAAAATTAGTAAACTTGTAGTACTACTGGCGAGTCTATGCTCATAATTACTATCTAAAATATACTGATATTTTGAGTTTTGATGGTAAAAATCATTTTCTTTGAAAATCATATCTATGTTTGCAACAAATAATTGTAAACTTTTGTAAGGAATCTTGCAAGTGACTAAGCCTTTTTTAAGAATATAATCTGCGAAATAAATATAATTAAATTTCATGAAAATATACTATACTTATAAAAACAATGCATCATATGATGTACTATGACTAGGTTT